TCCAGGATTCGAAGAAGAAGCGAAGTCGTACCCAGCTTTTGACATGAGTTTGTAGGCGTTCGGATCAAAACCTTCTTCAGTCCTCTTGGTTGGGAGAAAACTTGGTTCCGCTCTCTTTGGTAGAGCTTTTACGAAGCCTTGTGGTAATCTTGCAACCTTAGCGTTGCTTAGCTGTGTCAGAGGTAGAACTGCATTCATCTTGAGCAACTTTACATTATCCACGTACCGTTGTGCATCGGCTTTACTTGCTTCAGTTTCGAATGGGGATTAACCATTCTTTCTTCTTGACATCGGGATGTATCGAAAAACGGGTGTGTTTAGTACATTTGAGGGCGTCCTACTCCCTTTGGTTGTTGCAGGTTTAGCAAGCTCATCATCGTTCTTGCTTGAAGACGACATGGCTTCTTCTTCTTGCTTCTTGGGCATGGCTTGCCACTCCTGCTTTTTAGGTGTTGCTTTACCCGTGGATTTGATCTCTTTTGGAAGAGCTTCGAGCACCATGTCTTCATCCATGTAGAACTTGGCGTTTGCGAAATGTGATTCAGCTTCGGTGAATGGTTTGGTGTCGCCATAGATCACCTTCGCTCCTTCTCGGTAGAATTTTAAGCATTGGTGAAGGGTGGACGGTACTACTCCATTTGCATGGATCCAAGGCCCTCCTAAGAGCAAGCCGTAGGAAGTTCTTGCATCAATCACGTGGAATATCGTGCTTGACTTGAGTTCACCAATAGTCATCTCTACTCGGATCATGCCCATCGCTCTTTGTCCTCCTTGATTAAAACCTTGGATTAATAGACGACTTAGGGACAATTCATCCGCCTTGATGCCGATTGTAGTCATTGTTGACTTTGGCATGATGTTTATGGCTGATCCACCATCCACAAGCATGCAGTTGACTTTGTGCTCCCTTACGTACCCAGAGACGAAGAGAGGACGGTTGTGAGGCTTGGATCCTAGTAGCAAGTCTTCGTCGGTGAAATGGATTGCGTCCTCAATGGCACAGCATGTGGCACATTCATGTGGTCGAAGCTTCAAGCCTTCGTTCTTGCTTTCTTGCACTTCGTGGTCATTGGGACTTTCCAAGACCGCTGCTAATGCTATTCGCATCTTCTTTGGTAATCGTAGCGCTTCCTCAATGCTAAAGTGTGTTGGCAGACCTTCTTCGAGAGTGAGAGTTTTTTCTCGCTCAGTGGTGATATCTTTGCCTTTTGAAGGTTCTTCTATTTCTACTTCGACCATGTGGCATGCAGCGATAGTGCACTGTTGGAAGAAGTCATTCGGGAAGTACTCGTGCAATGAGATAGGAATGCGTGGCTCTTGCTCCATAGGGTCCCCAGCATACATTGGCTTATCAACTTTTACGTTTCTTTTGGGCTTCCTACTGTTGCGGCGATGGTACTTTCTCACTTGTTCCACCTTTTGTCTTGTGGCTTGTGGTTTTGGTTTCCTTGTTTTTTTGTAGGTCACCAATGTCCATCCTTCATCATCATCGGTATGTGCATCTTGTTCGTTTGCCCTCAGCGATGGTTGCGCAAAAGGTATCGTGCAACTTGAGCATTGATAGGAATGGTCAGGTACTGCTTGGAGAGGCACGGGATCGAAAGATCCAAATGCAATTGTAGTAGTATGTGTCGCGGCTGTGTCTTCGAGGTCGAGCTCGATTCGCCCTTGTTGTACTAGCTTCATGATGAGCTCTTTGAGGACAAAGCATTTACCCACAGGATGGCTCACGATTTTTATGGTACTTGCAGTATTTAGGATCGTTTATGCGATTCATTTCTTCAGGCCGCTTGCATTCGGGTAGCTCGATTACCTTCTTTTCTAGCAAGTCGTCTAACATTGCATCCATGTCTGAGTCAGGAAAAGGGTATACCTTCTGCTCCAATTCCCTCAAGGTACTTTTGTACCTTTCTTGGGTGCGAGGAGGCTCACTTTTCTTTATCTCCTTTGCTTTGGTTTTGGAGGAGATCTTGATAGGCGCGGAGGCGGTCTTGACGGCAGCAGTGCTGACGGTGAACGCTTCATTGGGGGGTTTCTTCCCAGTCTTGTCTACATTTGAGGAGAACACCTTATCCTTCTTAAAGTCGGTGATCGGTTCTTTCTTCCCGTGATGGGCAATACTTAGCTCCATGTCGTGGGCACGGGTGGCTAACTCTTCAAATGTCCGTGGTTTGATGCCTTGAAGGATATAGTGTAACCCCCATTGCATGCCTTGGACGCACATCTCGATTGAAGAGATCTCTGAGAGCCTGTCCTTGCAGTCGAGGCTTAGATTGCGCCATCGGTTGATGTAGTCCACGACTGGCTCATCCCTCAATTGCTTTGTGTTTGTCAGCTCTAGCATGCTCACAGTGCGGCGAGTGCTGTAGAAGCGGTTGAGGAATTCCTTTTCTAATTGCTCCCAACTGTTGATGGACTCAGGCTCTAGGTCCGTGTACCACTCAAAGGCATTTCCTTTTAGCGAGCGTACAAACTGCTTAGCGAGGTAATCCCCTTCTGTCCCCACGTTGTTGCAAGTCTCAATGAAATGGGCGACGTGTTGCTTCGGGTTTCCCTTTCCATCGAACTGCATAAACTTTGGTGGCTGATAACCCCTTGGCATCTTCAAAGTGTCAATTTTCTTGGAGTAGGGTTTTGAGTATAGTACGGAGTCATGTGAACTTCCTTCGTACTGTGCCTTGATGGTGCTGGCGATCATCTCTTGCAGTTGTTGGATAGAGAGAGGTCCCACGAGTGCCTCTGCTTGGCCTGGCTCCGGCTTCACATCGATTTTCTCCACCGAAGGCTCTTCATCCTCGTCGTTTTCCTTCTTTACTGAACCATCCCCTTGCTCGATTTTCACGTTGGGCTTTACATCTAGTTGGTTGACGAGTGCGGCGATTTGCTGGTCTTTTTCTTCCACAATCCGTGTTAGCCTTGCAATTGCTTCATTCATATGAGCCAACTGCTCATCGATTGAAGTCGCTCCAGTAGTCATGACTTGCATGGCTGAGTTGCCACTTGTGTCGGCATCGGAAAGCATGAAACCAGAGTACTTCCTTGGGCTTTCCTTCTTTGGCGCCTTTAGCGAAGCCAGGGTGATCAAAGGTTCATGCCTAAGGTGCTCTTGTTCCTTCGGCGGAGTTGATGCAGGGGTGGAAGATGCGGCAGAAAGAGCTCTTGCCTTGCTTCGAGTTATGACGCCCGAAGTAACACCGCCTACGGTGATAACGTTCTTGTTCCTTGCATTGGCTGCGAGAACAACTTGAGCCTTCTTTGATGCCATTTGTGCTTTTTGCTGATTCAAAGATAGAGATGAGAGGTAGAGATGGTCCCACTGGGCGTGCCAAATTTGTAAACACGGAATTTCCTGCGATGAACGAGACAAGAAACACGTGTACAAATAATATTTGTATTGATGATTTAGGGGTTACAATCTCTTCTACAAATTTAGCCTCTGATTCTATCTTTGCAATGGGTGGATTTGATGTTGTTGGTCCAAAGGGCCGTCGGGGCTTGATCTTGGGATAAACAGTTGTGCAGATTTGTTGACATCGTGGATCCAAAGGGCCGTCGGGGCTTGATCTATGGATGAACGAATGATGAACGATGGACACTTTCTTCAAGGGCCGTCGAGGCTTGGTCTTGAATCAGTGGAAGTTCTTCAAAGGCCGTTGGGGCTTGATGTTGAATGAGGATTTGACGAAGAACGAAGAGAGCTCTCTTGATCTTTCGGGATTTGCTTGGGAGCTTTTGAGTTTCAAAGCTTCAAGGTTGTGGTATGAGGTGAATTGGTTATCAATTGGTGTCCCAAAATGAATGCCTTGGCCTCCTATTTATAGAATTCCAAAACTTGATTTTTTGGATTTAAATAATTAGATGAAATAAATCATTTCTGCCAGGTGTTGACACGTGTCCTGTTTGATGACTTTTTCGATTTATTTTGATTTTTCGTTTATTCACATGCTATGTGTAAAATTTATGTGACACAAAAACATTGAAATTTTAATTATTGATCAACATTTATTTTACCGAAATTTCGATGTCTACAGTTACATATGAGTTGGATAATTTGCTTAAGTTACCCGTGGGTGTACGGGGGGTTCTGCACCTCCGGAAGGCAATCTCACAAGAAGAAGAAAATGATAAGTTTACATGTTCCACTTGTACATGGATAAAACTTGAAAGTTGATCCAATACACAATTCTTGTTGCCTTTTTTGAATCATTGCTTGTTACAATTCAAGTAAGTAAACATATCACGTAGATTTAATGAGTTATTTGATCTAATTTGATCTTAATGCTTTATTTGGTGTTATGATCGGAATGAATGGATAACTCATATAGTTTAAGGTACACTTAAGTAGAGATAAAGTGATTTTTCATTTTACCAATACTAAAGGAATCACTATTGAGATTTGAGACCTCGTCAAATTCTAATATGCGCTCTGATTTAATAAAAAAGTCGAAAGCTTTGTTGCTTGTATTCTAATTTGCCACTAGAAAACTACAACAATTGAACACTGTCAACGAGCAAGTGGCTCTTTACCATAATGGTAAAAATGAGTTGAGTTTTTGCATGACGGCGTAAGTTCAAATTCCGTCGGTGGCTAATCTAACATTTAATTTAACAAAATCCATTGTTTGACCAACAAAAAAAAAAGAAAAAGGGAACACCAACAACAAAGAAAGTGAAAGAAAAAGAAATGCCTTTTATGTTTTCATTTATTTGTTGTTGGTATTCTGATCCAGAATTTCCTAATCCGGCCATTCTCCGCCGTTGGATTGGATAGATGCCCAATATAACATGATATGACTTTTATTTTGGTTAAATTGAAATGGTTTTGTCGAAAAGATAGAAATTTATTAAGGGAACTTTAACGAAAAGCACCCGATACTGTTCACTTTAACGAAAAACCACATTTTTACACTAAAAAGTTAATCCTGGTACTATTCACTTTACCCTTTATTTTGTCCTTATCATTAAAACTCAAAGTTTTCAAGCCCTTTTCATTAAAGCTTTCGACAAAACCATTGCAATTTGCAACGACAACGTTTCAAGCGGTTAAAGCTTTTCGCAGTTTCTTGACAAACCAAGGCCTCCGCCGCCGCTGCCTCCACTTGACTAATCCTCATCCCTCTGGTAATGATTCAGTAATACTACAACTGCAAATCGAAATTATGCTGAGAAGACGACTCCCATCCCTTCTCTCCACCACCATTTTCACCTCCTCAATTCGCACCAAGCCCCCTTTCACCCTCCCCACACCCTCACCCATCCCATCTCAATCCCTACATTTCCTCCCATGCCTAAACCCTAACCCTAGCTTTAGCAATGGCAAAGGGTTTGGATTTCAGGGAGTGAGAGCCTACAGTCTGCTGAGCTTGAACGATCTGAGAGGCAAGGTGCCCAGGAAGCAGAAGACGAGGAAAGGCCGTGGGATTGGCTCTGGTAAAGGCAAGACTGCCGGTCGAGGCCACAAGGGTCAGAAGGCTCGAGGCTCTGGGAAGCTGGGCTTCGAAGGTGGTCAGACTCCGCTGCGTCGTCGTTTGCCCAAGCGTGGCTTTAACAACCCATTTAGTCTCACTTTTCAGGTACCCTATCCTCTTTAATTTCTTCTATGTTTGTATTGTGCATTTCTATTGGTCGAGTTGCGCCGAAGTTATTGGAAAATTTGAATACTTTGTTTCTTCTACTTGTTATATTCAGAAGCAGTAGCAGATGCATAAACATAACCGCTCAATTGAGATTGATTTAGTTTACAGGAATATGTTGCTTATTAGTCATGTACTCTGTCTATACAATGCGTGCGCATGTGTGCTGACACAGACAACATCAATTTGTAAAAGCCAATAAGTCTATAATAAATACTGAAATACTAAATTTATGCAACCCCGTGAATTATGCAGATCACCGGGGGGGTCTTATTTTAACTCTGCGAGAAGCTTATATCCCTCCTGATACAGATAGTAAGGAAGTAACTTCCATAGGGGCTCATGGTTAGCTGGTACTGAAGTCAATATTAATTGTCATTATGTTGCTACTTGTTTCTCTGTTGGTACAACGAATGACTCGCACGCTCATTTGATAATTTCCAGTGCTTATGCTCTAAGTTTGATATTTGCTATAGAAAAGTACTTGTTGTTAGTACCCTTTGGTGTAATTGTATGTCTTGCCTCAATGCTTGAGTAGTAGTTACTTTTATACGTACATACATACATGCATACGGATTCCTCAATGCTTGAAAACCATTATGCTCCGGATGTTTTTGTTTTAGATTATTTTTTTTCGGTCTATATTTTTGGTTACATAGCAAACTGATTTTATCATTCCTTTTGACTTTTAATCTATTTAAGCTTTGTTTATATTTCTGAGGGCTGTTAAACATTAACTTTATTTCCATTCATTTTCTGATCTGCGTACATGTCGTTGTGGCAGCCTGTAGGATTAGGAAAAATTGCTACACTTATAAACGCAGGAAAGATTGATTCGTCTGAGTTGATTACAATGAAAACGCTCAAGGTACAGTCAATTGCACTATTTCCTGCATCAACTTTTGTTCAGTCGGGTAATTATTATTACAATAGGATACAGGGGCAATAGGGAAGCAGATTAAAGATGGAGTGCGATTGATGGGACGTGGTGCTGAACAGATCCAATGGCCAATTCATCTAGAGGTATGTATTCATCTGGGCATTACACCTGACATGGACTTGTGTATTATGCGGGTACTCCTGTACTTCTTGCTTCCTCTTCACTGTTTCTAGATTTAAAATTTCTGCTTTTACCTCAAAAGTGTATTTGCTCTTCGTAGCTGGATGATATGATGCTATCATCACTGGCATGAGAGTCTCTCACCACTTCAATTTTGTTTTTTGAACCAAGAAGTGGCGATGTCAGTTAAATATGATATATAGATTACTGCTAGTTCAATGGTTTGCTGATGTCGTTGTAATTTGTGTTGTTCTTTGTAGTGTTTAGTAACATAACCTTTGATCTCGGTCAAATTTTATCAATAAAAAAACTGTTCAAATTTGATTCTGATAAGGCAGAACCATGATCTGACTGGAAAATGGTGATCATGTTCATTAGTGGAAATTTTGTGATGGCTTGAAATGTTCTCAGGGTATAGAATTGTGAAATTACAATAATTAATTGGGCAATAATTAATTTGGCATAGAATTTTGAAATTAGTTTACAAATGAACTATCAGTCCATTACTATTTAGTGGTGGCAGATACTTTTGTACGCTAATTATTTATTATTCACATGGATATGGAGTAAATGCATATGGGTCAGACTTTGGGTTTCATTCCTCTTTTTGTTGCATGCAACTCAAAAATGGACTTACGAGAGAGGTTTGCAGGTATCACGTGTCACCGTAAGGGCAAAGGAAGCTGTTGAAGCTGCAGGTGGGTCTGTTAGAAGAGTGTATTACAACAAGTTGGGCTTTCGAGCATTGCTTAAACCTGAGTGGTTTGAAAAGAAAGGCAGGTTATTGCCGAAAGCAGCTAGACCTCCCCCAAAACAGAAGGATAAAGTTGATAGCATTGGCCGCTTGCCAGCCCCAACGAAACCAATTCCTTTTTCAACTGAAGACAAAGAAGTGGCCTCTACTTGACCGAAGGAGCAAAAATAGTTTGTTCTTATTCAGAGATCTGTACGTTTAGACCCAGTTCCTTCTTCAAAGTGCTTTGCATAAATTGTTCTCCTTCATAAGAAACAGTGAGTTGCAAGGAAAATGATCTGTCGGGATAGATTGAACGAGGAAAGCTTTTTGTGTTGGTATTGCTTTTGATTAGCTGATTTTCTTACATTGTCTTTTGAGTTAATTGTTCTACACTTCTTACTTGCTTGGTGCCCCTTGCTACTTGGGCTGTGAGCGGGAACTTAGCTTCCATGCCCATGAATTGCTGTTGGAATATGATGCCCATAAGTAATTTTCGGCAAATTACGTGCTTAAATTTTTACAATTTTTCTTTGAGTAGAAGCAAAGAGTTGTACATCCGTCTTTGTGTAAATAATGTTTTTGTTATCTCTTGAGCGAGGGGGTCGGGGATTCAAACTTGGAACCTCTTTCAATATACCGCATAGTGGATTTTCCAAGTTGGTAGAGGTTCCACCAGACTAAGATGGTGGATTCGAAGATTCGAACTTCGTATAACATTGGGAAGAGAAATGCCATTTAGACCAATAGCTTCCAAGTCCTATTGTTCGACATAAATTTTATATAAGGAAACAAAGAATTATATATAAACCAACCTCACAGCTGTCTCTTCGGAGTTCTCCATAGCTCAGGCTTTTTGATGCAAGATCCTCTGAACTATTAACGGACCAAAGGAGCTTCTAAAATATTTCAATCTGCTGAATAATGCTGAGGATATTGCAATATCTAAGGAGAGAAAACAGATGAATGGATAAATGATAGTCTCAAAAGAACACCAGAAGAACTACTCACAAATAGTCATCAAATAATTTGCAAGCAACAGAAAATGATGGAAAAGAAAAAAAATCGAGAGTCACATTGCGATCGTAAACGGTTTAAGCTTATTTGCTTCAGAGTCCACAAGCAGAAGGTTAGGCCATCTCTAATGGATCAGGGCATAGGGCTATGACCTATGTTATAATCCGAAATGAGAAAAAAAAACCATCTCCAATGGAAGGCTGAGCCAAAAAAGAAACGGGCCCACCGAGCTAAAAAGAACCCTAATGGCCATTGGGCTGGGGTAAATCCAGCCAGCCCGTTTTGAGGGCCCAATTTGCTGCAACCAACAATCACATGACAATTCATGTAGTTGTTGGATTTTGAATTTTTTATTTTTTTTTAACATATAGCAAGATTTCATTAACTAATTTAGAAATAAAGGAATCATAACCGTACCCTGACGGGTGCTGATCATCTCCCAAACCTCTTTGGACAATGGGGATTGCCCAAGGTCCAAAAGTCTCCTGTCAAGCTTCTTTTCCACAAACCCTAAAAAACTGCAAACCACAACTCGAACGTCGCAAGCATATAAATTCCGTTTATATTAACAGGTCGAAAAGCAGCACTTTATACTCATCAATCATACAACAGACTACACAAATAAAGAAATGGCACAAAACAATATACATTGAATTTCTGGTAACCAGGATCACCCTATTCGAAAACAGCGTAACGGAGTCCCTCCACCCCAGCCATTACCTACTCAGATTCTTCTGCAGAAGATCATTCCAAAACCCCTGCATACACATAAAGATGCAATCTTTTCACATATTTAACCTTTATCAAATTCCCCACATGGGAGAATTACAGTAAATAAACAAGTAGTTTGTGAGTAGTTTCTTCATCGGTCTCAGTATCATTGAAAGAAAAAAATTGCCAACTAGATGGTAGTTTTAGGGTTGTTTTATTAGCACCCCATGTATTGTTGAATACACCCCCACATACCTAAAACACCCCACACTTACTTTTTAAACTTAAAAATATCCTATTACACCCCACTTACTAACCAAAACTACCCTCACACCCCACACATTTCATACACCCCACACCAAAATCTACAAGTCTTCATCTTGTCCAAAAAAATAAATTTAAAACCTTTGCCTTTAGCACACAAACAGTGCGCATGGTTCTACTGCTTCAAGGTTTTTGTCAATTTAGGGGAATTAGGCTTTAGATGTGAATTTGATTTTAAACTCAGAAATGGCTACTTTGCTAGCTTTTCTGAAATAAAAAATCATGAAAGGACTAGTTGATTGTGCTATTGCTGTGTCCGTGTAGATTCTCTATTCTGCAAAATTGCACCACAAACCATCCTAAAAAATAGACAGCATACATACCTGAAAATTTTTAGCAAAAGAAAAAAAAACAATACCACACTATCTCAAAGAAGATATGAATATTTTAGAGTACTTCATCTCTTATGCTGCAGAATCTTTAACATATTGTTTGTACCCGATTTTATGTCATCAGCCCGAGTAATCGAGACCATTGAATGTGCAGAATTCGAGATCGACGGATGATTCTGAATATTAAGAGGTTGTGATTTTGCACGAACTCGGCCCGTATACTTTGAGTCATTCGATGGAAGAAGCCCTATTTGATATTATCATTTGGTTAGGAATTTATTAAAATGGTAATTATCTTATAGTTGCAGCTTGAAAGTCAAATAAATAAGAGAAGTTGCATTATACAAGGACTGTATAGCTTGGTTGGCTTGCGTTGCTGATCAACACGGAAAATGCTACTTATCGAAATCTAAGGATAAGACAACATGCAGAAATAGGAGATGTGATCAGTTTGACTTTCTGATAGTGCATGGTTTGCATTTGTTTGGAAGTGAAATAATATGGATGAAGGACATTTGGTTAAATGTCTACGTTCTGATCAATATAAAATGAGTGCTTATCTTGCTTAAGCACGGGGCTGCACGTGGATTGAACCTGGTTGCATTTTTTACTAAGTTCAGAAATATTGGTATTGTAGGATTCGACCAAAGCTTGATGAATATTTGGGATAATTCGAGAGGTTTAGTCTCGGTTGGTTTCTAGGAAATCACCAAGGCCACGGGATCCATTTGGGATAATTCGAGAAGTTTAAGTCTCGGTTGGTTTCTAAGGTTAAGGGATCATGCATACTCGAGAGAATATTCCCGTTATTTACGACGACAATCCTAGTGTTCTGCTATTATAAATACAGGGGTCTTGCATCATTAAGAAGACCTCCAATTCAACACACAACTGCCTTGCGCAAACTCTTTCAACAACTGAGATTTTTATTTTCTCTTTTCGCTAATACATCTTCCGTTGGCATCAACAGCACTGTGAAAGCAACTGGTGATATCTTAAGTTGGCATAAATAGCTCTGTCATCGTAGAATCAGCCGGTCTCGCAGTATCTTCTGTTGGCATCAACAGCACTGCGGCGAGGACGGTTGGTTACCTATCCAAGTCTTGGTCGAGAAGGATTTCCGAATCCTTATTGATTAAGGTCATCTCATTAGTCTTCTTGGCGAAATGAGGTGTTATAGTTTATTGAGCTCGGCGCATTGCACGCCGAGTTATTTTATGATTGGATACTCCCAAGTGGGATTTAGAGTTCTACATTCAGACGGCCGAACCACGTTCACTATTAAGACTTATATTCGCTTTGAGTATTTGTGCCCTTACACTTTGGTGTCGATTCGGCGAGAGTTTACTATGACAAATAACATCACTGTGACCGAATCCGACGACGACGATTCGTGAACTTCGTAAGAATAGTAACCTTGTCTTCAGGTTCGAGAGCCCAAGAGGCCGAGACGTGTTCCTTTCTCGGCCGCAATCGCAAGACGCAGAAGTCAGCTGTGCACCCAACGCAACATCAACAAATTTACTCCTCAGCCGAGCTCGGCCGACGAGTTGGCACGCCCCACATTCACCGAAGGACGTAGTTAGCTTATAAATTACTCGGCCTGCGCGCCACGTAGGATTGGTAGTTTTTAGGGTCGACACATATATATAAACATAATCACAAGACATTGTGAGTGGAGGTGTATATAAAATTATATATAATTTACCGGTGGTTAGGATTTTTTAAATGATTTGAGGCGTAGGAAGAAAATAATTGTTTTTCTTTACTTTTTAAGGTTTAAATAGTCATTTTATATAAACCATTTAACAATAAATATTAAGTGGTGGTGTATTCAACAATTAGTGGGATGCTAATAAAAAACCCTAGTTTTATTCTGTTAGTTTAGATTTTTTTTTTTAAATATTGTTTTAATTTAAATCTTAATTAAAGAGGGATATCTTCGAACTTATAAATGAGTCACCTTTTTTCCTCCGGGCTTTATATATAGACTCCTAGAGGGAACTTTAACGAAAAGCTTCCCGTACTGTTCATTTTAACTAAAAATCACATTTTTACACTAAAAAGTCAATCCTGATACTATTCACTTTACCCTTTATTTTGTCCTTATCGTTAAAACTCAAAGTTTTCAAGCTCTTTTTATTATTTTTCCTTTATATATATAGATAGATGCAGATATGGATAATGTATATATATAAAAAATATAATAATAAACTAATAGAAACTAGAGGCTTTTCCAAAAATATAGATTATTTTTAAGAGTGAGTAGAGTTATCAAATTACATGTTTATATTGCTTTTATACTCATTTATATTTTCTAAAAGTATTAAAAATCACTTAAAATCTTCTAGTATTTTCCAACTCCAAAAATCTAATTAATATCTTATAAACAAAAGCTAACATACAAATCTATCTGCAAAACATTACACTCTAAACTAACAAATATATGGATGTATATTATACCTATAAGCGAGATATGATACCTGAAGAAAAAAACATAATAAACCTACAAGCAAGACATATTAATCTATGACAGATTGATTATAAAAAAAAATATGTCATGTAGGTAGATTTTCAATTAACCTGTGATATAGATTGATTATAAAAATTAAAAATAAAATCTATAAATGAGGTTCAAAGCAAGAGGAAGAACAAGAACTAACAAAGAGTAATAATTAAAGAGATAATTAAGAAGAAATTTTATTTTTATAATAAATCTTATCATTGAAGATGACACACCTTGACCCGGAATGTCCACTAGGACTCCGAATCGAGCTGTGCTGGCCGATACCTGGAAAGTGACGAAGCCATAAAGTGTAGTGATGTGAAAAATGTGAATAAAATTAAACCTAAAAGTGCCTAATAAAAAGAGTGCGCTAGTGTGCGGGATTGAACCCATTTCACATGCGACGTCAGAGAATAAGAATAGTACAGTAAATAGGGTGAGGGTTATACCATTGAAGATAACCACTTATACCGAGATTTGCCATAGGTCCTTGCGATACGTAAGCTCAGCTACGAAAACATGGAGGGGTGAAAAACAGAAGGGTGAGTGGGCACAAAAACAAAGGTTTTCAAAATCCATTTATTTTCGGAACAAACTAACCCTTGGCGGTAAAACATGTATAGTTTCCAGAAAATC